AGGTAGATGTTTGGCTTACTATGCCAAGTCCCATGAGCCACTGAAAATCTGTAAGTGGAAACAATGGATTGGAAGAGATTCAAATGAATGTGGGTAGACCAGATAAAAGGTTACCTCAGCTGAAAATATGAGATGAGGGTAATGCCAGGGAAAATGGGAAGAGGTATTCATATTTGAGAGTTATTTACGAATTAAAATTGACAATACTTTGTAATGGATTTGATGCAGGGAATGAGAGAAATAGAAATGTGATGAACCTTTTAAGGTTTCTGAGTAAACAATACAACAAAACCTCCAGTTAGACAGAAAGCTCAAAATACAGTTCTTGAATAAGTCCAAAGATTATTTATAGTAACTGAGGACAGAAGCAAATGCTTATTAGACTTTAATTCATATGTGTTGATAATAATTTGTGTGTCCCACTAGAGCAGAAGGAGGTACTCCTGTACCTTCTTGTTATAGTTCTTAAGACACTGTAATTCCTGGGTGATAGCTAACTCTTTCTCTAGACTGTGAACTCCATAAAGGTGGACAGATTTTTACTGTATCTCTTGCAGGCAATCTAGTTTCTAGCATAACAAGTACCCAAATATTTGCAAAATGAAGTATTAGGTCATGGCTCAAACTTTAAACTTTTTTTTTTCCAAATTATTTTTACTGTAGTTATACAATTTAATTTAATTTAATTTTTTTTTTTTTTTTTTAACAGAGTCTCACTCTGTGGCCCAGGCTGGAGTGCAGTGGTGCAATCTTGGCTTGGCTCACTGCAACCTCCACCTCCTGGGTTCAAGTGATTCTCCTGCTTCAGCCTCCCAAGTAGCTAGAGTAGCTGGAATTATAGTTGCCTGCCACCACATCCAGCTAATTTTTGTATTTTTAGCAGAGACAGGTTTTCACCATGTTGGCCAGCCTGGTCCCAAACTCCTGACTCAAGTGATCCGCTTGCTTCAGCCTTCAAAAATGCTGAGATTACAGGTGTGAGCCACCACGCCCAGGCTTAAATAAGTTTTTATGTAAAATTTTTCTAGATTCAAAATTTTCAGTTAATAACTTTCTTTCCTCATTTACGTTTAAGCCCTATAATTGCTGCATTACTGATTGTGGTCAGATTTAACTGTTTGAATAATGATAACCACCAGCACCACATGCTAGTTGTGATGATTAATTTTAGGTATTGACTTGACTGGATTAATGAATATGTAGGGAAGCGATAAAGCATGAATTTAGGATGTTCTATAAGGGTATTTCTAAAGGAGATTGGAGTGTGAGTCTGAGTGGACTAAGAGGGGAAGACTCACCCTCAATGTGGGTGGGCACCATCCAATCAGCTGGAGGCCCAGATAGAAAAAAACAGAGGAAAGGTGAATTGGTCTATCTCTTCTGAAGCTGGGATACACTCTTCTGTCCTTGGTCATTAGAATTCCAGACTCTCTAGCCTTTGGATCCAGGACTTACACTTTGGATCACCAGGCTCTCCAGTCTTTGGATCCCAGATCCCCTCTGAGTTCTCAGGCCAGCATACTTAGAATGAGCCACCCTACTGACACCCGAGGGTCTCTTGCTTGCAGACGGCCTGTAGTAGGACTTCTCAGCCTTCATAATTGCTTGAAACAATTCCTCTAATAAATCCCGTCTCCTGTTTCTCTATATTCTATTGATTTGGTCTCTCTGGAGAACCCCAACTAATATAGTGGTGTAGGATATAGTCCTAAGTGTCCATCTAGGAGACTGAGCAATTTTGTATCACCCAGCATAGTGCTTTTTAGAATGCTTTAAAGACTTATGGAATAAATTAGCAGAGGCCTCTGGCTACAGATGTGTAAAGAAACAACACATTTTTGATTCTAGTCAGCAGATGGCAGTGTTTTACTTTATTTAGTTAACTGAGGTTTGTTTCCTGAGCCTTGCAACGCTTTTAACTTAATCCATGAAATAACACAGTATTTTTGAGTTAACTTTATACTTTTTGAACCATAAATAAGTGTTCTATGATAGGGGTTGTTTTAGGTTTCAAAAAATTACACATTTTTTAGCCAACTTGAGCTTTCTTAAACTCCTTAAATTTGCTTTTTACCTTGCTAATTGCAAACAATTTTTCTCTTTTGAAAACAGGAAAACCCTGTTTATTTTACTTTATTCCTTGGCTTTATTTCTAAGAAAGGTCAACGCTGAACATTAATTCTGGAAATTAAGTTTAAGTGATGTTTAACTGAACATGGTACAGTTAAAAGTTTCTTTGGTTGAGTTTCTCTCCTCTGAGGTGAACCCTGAAGTTATGGGACTTGAGACTGAGTCAGGAGACTTGGATTTCATTGAAATTGCTACAAAGCTTTGACGAGATGATCTATAGTGAGCCATTTGAATAATTTTTCACCAGAATTTTTAATGAGTGAAGTATGTTTGACGTGTATACAGTTGACCCTTGAACAATGCCAGAGTTAGGAGGGCTGACGCCCTCCCTGGCCTCTGCGCAGTTGAAAATCTGTGAGTAATATTTGAATTCCCAAAAACTTAACTACTAATAGTCTACTGTTGACCAGAAGCCTTACTGATAACATAAAGTCAATTCACATATATTTTGTGTAAGTATTAGATAGCTATCCTTACAATAAAGTAAGCCAAAGAAAATAAAATGCTATTGAGAAAATCATAAAGAAGAGAATGTGTATTTATTACTCATTAAGTAGAGGAGGATCATCATAAGGGTTTTCATCCACATCATCTTCAGGTTGAATAAGCTGAGAAGGGGGAAGAAGAGAAGGAGTTGGTTTTGATGTCTCATGGGTGGCTGAGGTAGCAGAAATTAACATAGAAGTGGACTTGCACAGTTTAAACCTGTGTTGTTCAAGGGTCAGGTGTATTTATGGTGTAAAAACATTGTAATGATGCTGGTTTTAAAAGTCTGAATGCTCCATAGAGAAACATAAAGATTGAAAATGAAGAAGACCTTCAACTTTAAGTAAAAATAAAATTTATTAATAATAAAAGTCTTCAAAAACTCCTCTGTCTCTATTATAATGCTGATAATTATGATGAACAAGGGCAAAACATGATACTATTCTGTTTCCTCCTGTGAGCCTATTGCTCTTTAACGTTTAAAGAAGCTTTATTACATATTGCTTACTTAAGTATGAAAAGAAACAATACATCGAGCTACACATATGCCCCTTCCCAAAACAAAACAAACTCTCCAGTACCTCTTTTGAATGTATTTATAAGAAAACAACAGAAAAAGTCTCTAATTGGAACTTTCTAAAAGCATTTCTCCCCAATTACAGTGCAGTAATGACTATAAATGGCACTGTCTCAGGGACAGCTCATCAGTTAATTATAAGTATTTCTCTAAATTGAGGAGTGAAGAATGATACTAAATTTCAATCAGTTCAGATAACTACGGCTTGTCATTATTCACTTGATATTTTAGACAGTCTACCTAAAAAGGAAGATGCAGAACAGAAATATTATCTTTTCTAAAGAATGGAGATTATGAGAACATTTACCTAAGACTATGTCCTTGCCTGGGAATATGGTTTCTATAGACATTCAATTCCCATAATCCCCAAAGACTTTCATTGGCTTGCCCAGTTTCTTTTCCATCTGGTCCTTTCAAACCAGGAAAAACAATATGATAATTCTATTGTTGTGTCTAGTAGCCTGGAAAAATGGAAATATATAGTTAATGTATGTAATATAGTAATTCAGTAATTTTTAAATGTCAATTAACACTTCCATTCCCTTTGATTTTTGTGTCTCAGCATCATTTAGCACTCTATGTTCTGAAATAAACATCTTAAAATTCTATAATTTACATATGCTCATCTCTGGGATAATTCTACCTGACCAAGTTTAAATTATTTCTTGTGTAGTTTTAAAAGCAAACATAAAGGAAATAATTGTTTAAATAGCAAATTCTCTTACTTTTAGATATTTTTCATGAATGTTTTATCTCGTTTCCTTCATTTAAAATTATGCTTTGCTCATGCATGTTCATAGAATTTTCAATCATGCTAAAAGCAAATATGGCTTCTGTTTGCTTATTGTCACAGATAGCCTCTTGGTTATTATTCTCCACAATCACCTTATTCATGAATTGTAAGTTGGAGACCAGCCTCCCAGTGCAGAACTGTTTAGAAATAGCCCTTCATGCTTGCTCCTCTATTCCCAGAGGAGTTTGCTGCACATGCCTAGATCTCTTTCCATCTGGCCTCTGCACAAAGGGTTTATCCCACTTTAACACAATTCTTTGTTTTATAGAGGACCTTGACTTTATCTGAGAGTGAATACATAAGAAACAATAATCATGTTGCAGGAAAACCTGATTTGAACATTTTTTTTCATACTTGATTCCTAAGATGACAGTGAAACTACACTTAGCTGGCGACAAAGACTAAAGGTAAGGGTGTAATGATGACAGAGCTGTAAAAAAGTAAATGTGAAGGGTCTGATTTTTCCATTATTACCGTACCTATGTTTATGTAGCTTCAGTAAAAAAGAAAAAAAAAAAACTTGGTATATTTATTTTTACATCTGTCACTGAAAAACCTTTGTGAGATTTTCAATTTGTAAGACATTAATAAGAAAACTGCTGCATTTGCATACCGATAGATTTGTGAACTTTATTGCAATTATTTAAAAGAAAAATATTTATAATTATAGGATTAAGACATTTTAAAATGCAACTCTTCTTCCCTTAGTGTAAATAAAATCACAATGACAGGTGTCCTGAAGCCTCAAATGGAAAATCTTCCTTTAAAAATGTATGGTGGTCTTAATGTTTAAAAGAAGTCAGCCTATTTTCTTAGTGTATATTCATGTTATCTAACGTTCTTTTTTCTCCAATTATTATATAGTTTTATAAGTGAATATTTCAGAGTCAAGAATTTTGTGGTATTTTTTCTAGAAATATACTGGAAGAACACAAATTCTAAATAAAGAATAAACACCAAAAGGCGAAAAGGAAAGAACGACAAAGTACATGCACGTGCACACACACACCCCCATATAGGTGCTTTGTTTTTAATAATTTGTTTCAAAATGTATTGTACAATGCTGTCTCAAATACTTTATTTGGGTTTAAAAGAGTTGTAGATGTTGACATAGGTTTGTTGATTTCAAATGGAAAAATTACTGGCATTGAAAGATGGCAACTGAAATCTTGAACCTAATCGGGTTAATTAAGGTTACTTTGTGAAGATTAAAGAAAAATATTAGAATTCAGCTCCCCACCCCCAACAAAGGATACTAGTATTTTTACTAAAATATATTTTTAGGTTTGTTTTGGCATATTCTTTTCGAGGAGATTTGAAACTCTTAAATTTTTATAATGACAAAATCTTGTATTTGAACTTTTAAAACATTACTCATTTTGAAGTAAAATCTAAAACTACATTTAAAAACATTTCTGTCCACATTTGGTCTGTTGAAGGGACTAACCTTTGAACACACTAGTGTTATTTTGAAAGGGCAAAGTGCTTTTTTAAAAATTTTAAGTAGTTAGTGCTCCACAAGGGTAAAACTGTGACCCTCCCCCACAGTGCTCACATATGTCATCTGCATTTGTTAGCAGTGTTACCTACAAGTTTGTTACCTTGGAATAATTACAATCCAATTGGCGAGTAAATCATTACAAACCGGTCCATTTCCACTTGGCCTCTGCACGAACGGTTTATCCCACTTAAAGCAAAATCGACAAAAAGAAGAAAACAGCATATCCAACTTGCTTTATCTTTATTAGAGGAAATCCTGAAACTTCCGTTGATTGCAGTTCTAGGAAAAACAAGTTTGTCCTAAGCAATGTTATGGCCACTTCCCCACTCTAACCCTGTTGTTTAAGGGAGTCCACTCCTAACTGCTGACTCAGTTTGTCTTCACTGCCAGAAGTGAAGCGTGACCCAAATTGTCTACTGGGTTGAGTAGGAACAAACGAGCAAACTGCTGATCACTTAGCAGTTCTAGGTTTACTAAAGGATAATTATTTGGTCTAAATACTGTTTGTTGGGACTGCAAAGGTATAAATAATGCCCCTCCCAGGAAGAAAAGGGAAAACCTAAAATCTTAGGCAACCGATTGAAGGTCACTGACAGAAAGCACCTCTGGAGACCAAGCTCCTCAACTTCGGTCCCATCATGGACCAGAGCCACACAGGTGACCGTGCAGGAGTTTCGAGGCTGCGTAGTAAAATAGCTGGCGTGGGCAGTTCTTTTATACTCCAGCTAGAGTAAAACTAACGCAGCTTTGCGTTTCCCCATCGCCTTTGACAGCATCCAGCAAAAGGGTGTAGGGTTAAGGATAGCTGAAGAAACCAGGTGTCCTTTCTCAGCTGAGTCCTTTGAGAAACTGGGACTGAGGAGGGTGAGCAGCGCGGAGAGGGACAGGGGTGGGGGGTGGGAGAGGGGAGCAGGGCGCGGGGCGGTGAAGGGGCGCGTCTGGAAGGCGGTGGGGAGAGGGGCTGAGGGCTTGAAGTCCAGCTGGGAGCATCCAGAGGCGCTGCCTGAAGACGAGGGCGAAGGCAGCCGCTGAGAGTGAGGGGTAAGCGGGAAGCCAAGGGAAGGGAAGGAAGTAAGGAAAGAGGAAGGAAAGGCAGGAGGGGGGAGAGGCAGAGCCGCTGCAATTTCTGCGGCCGGCTCAGTAGGAGGAGCAGGAGGGGAAAGAGGAGGATCCAGAGTCAGTCAGTCAGGCAGCCAGCGGGAGGTGGAGAAAGCAGGAGGAGGAGGAGGAGGAGGATTAAAGATGGCCACCAACAGCTGCGGGAAACGGCAACAACCCCTCACTTCCCGGGATGGTCCCTGCGGGTCGGCCCGGCCTTGATGGAGAGAAGCAGCCTGAAGAGCGCCGAGGCTGAGGCGGCGGCGGCGGCGGGGACCCAGCGAGGACGAGGACGCTGCGGAGAAAGGACGGGGGCAGGAGAAGGGAAAGGCGGCGGCGTCGCTGCCCCAGCCGCCTAGCACCGCTGCCTGGCCCGGCGGACCGGTTCCCGCACCTCGCGGCCGCAGAATCGAAGCCGGGCCCCAGCCCCCGGCCCGCGCCGCGGGGCTCCCGGGCCCCACCGTGGACGCCGCGCTGGTCGCCCCTTTTCCGTAAACCGCGCGTTCCCGGCGCGGAGCACCGGCCCGCCGCGGTCCCGGATCCCGGGCCCGGCCCGCCCGCGCCCTCCGCCGGCCCTCAGGTGAGTGCCCCCGCCATCCTCCCCGCCCCCCGTGCTCTCGGAGAGGCTGCGCTGCCTCGGCCCGGCGCGCCTGGCCGCTTTGTTTGTGCGGGGCGGAGGCGCTGCCCACTGGCGGCCCTGCGCCCGCTCCCCCTAGGGACAGGCCGCGGCCCAGCTGCTGTCCTCCCTAGGGTCCGCCTTGGCCGGGAGCCGCGGCAGCCGCCAGGGTTGGCGGCCTGGCCGAGTTCTCCGCTGCGGCCTGGGGAGGGCGCCGTGGCGGTCGGGTCGGGGTCGGGGTCGGGGTCACGGACGGCAGGCGGAGGGGAGCCGAACCCGGATATTTCGGGAGATGGGGGAGGAGAAGGCTGGACGTTACCTCTGGGAAGCAGTGGGGGCGTAACCTGGCGGCCCTGGCGCCCAGGGGTAGGGGATCAGGCACTGTCCCCCAAGCCCGTTGCATCCCGCGGAGTCTCGGCTCCCGGAGCCCCCCGCACCTGGGCGCAGCCGAGCGCGGCCTCCATCCCTCCGGCGCTGTCTCCAGGGCTGCGGGCCTCTCCCACTACGCCCTATGCTGGAAGCCCTTAGATTATGGAAGCAACCAGAGATGCTCCAGTTCTCTTGTGCTGGGGATGTGGTGGCATCGCAAACATTCACAGTTACGGCGGGATTTATAAAGCAGACGTGACCTTTCTGACCAAAGGCCTTCTGGCTAGTGTTGGGAGCCTCAGGTGCAGCGTTTCATTGGTTTTTACCATATAATTCTGAAATCTGCAATATCAGATCTTCCTTTCACAGAAATAATGTGATAAAACCAGATTGAAAGGGTGTTTATATGTGAACCCTTGCATGGACTTCCAGTACCTTAAAATTGGCTGTTTTCTGTGGGAAAATGGTGCTCATGCATACGAAAAACTATTTTTGTTCAGTAATGGTTGCCAACTGGTTTACTATGTAGTTCGAAAACCAAACAATTCAAAAGGAAAAACAAAACCCTATTCTTTGGGCTTTTTGAAATAGTGGCATATTTCCAGGTTGGTATTTGGTAGCAGGTTGAGAACAATTAGTTTTCACTATTAGGCGACATAACAAACAACATAAAACAGAACCAAGGACACGCTAATTTATAGAAAACCAGATGTTGTATTAGTGCATAAATCTAATAAAAAGTAAATCCCCCTTTAAAAAGAAAAATAAAACTTTTATCATGAGACTCTTAAATATAGGAATTAGATTGGTGTGTTTTTATGTTTAAAAATATATATTACATTAGAATTGAGAACTCTTCCTACGATATTTGAGCATTAGTGGAGTATGTTAACACTTTGAACCATTCTGTCTCAAGCTGCTAGAAAGATAGGTTTCTACTACCAGTTTCTTTCCATAAGTTAAAATGTGTTCATCTGAATTATGTGCATGCTTTTGGTGGGGCACAGTGGGTCATGCCTGTCATCCAAGCACTTTGGGAGGCCAAGGCTGGAGGATCACTTGAGGCCAAGATTTAGAGACCAGCCTGGGCAGCAGAGAGACCCCTGACTCTACCAAAAAAAATTTTTTTAAAGAAAAAAAATACTTCTAACTTAAAGTTTATATCACCTCCAAAAAGGAGGTATAAATTAGAAAACACGATGTTCTACTCTTGCAAAATCTGTTTTTTAAAAATAAATGACAATATAATATTTCAGTATTAGCTGGATTCTCTACTTTGAAGAGATTCTTAAATTCCACTGCTCAACTTTGAATTTTAAAAGTTTACATCAGGTGTTCCTAATTTCTCTCTCTCTCTCTCTCTTTCTCTTTTTTTCTTTTCAAGATAGTCTTGCCCTGTTGCCCAGGCTGGGGTGTAGTGGCATGATCACGGTTCACTGCAGCCTTGAACTTCTGGACCCAAGTGATCCTTCCTCCGCAGCCTCGAAGTAGTTAGGACTACATGTGCATGCTACCATGCCTGGCTAATTTTTGTAGAGATGAGGGTCTCCCTGTGTTGCCCAGGCTGATCTTGAACTCCAGGCCTCAGGCGATTCTCCTGCCTTAGATACCCTAAGTGCTGGGATTACAGGTGTGAGCCACCATGACCTGCTTCTTTGTTAATTTCATGCATATGCTTCTGAGGGTCCTTGGCTCCCCAGAAAGCGTAAGCACAATATAGCATATATTTGCATTTTTTTTAGATAAAGAGTCTGTGTGGTGATCGCATTCTCAAAAGGATCTGGCTCTGTAAAAGATGATGAACTTCAGATGTAAAATTAAATTATAAATATTCCATATTTGGTAAGGTAAAATTCTTAAGATTATATTTGATGAATTATGTTCTTCATTTCTCATTATGCCCAAGAAATGTTTGTGATTAAGAGTTTAGCACATAAACATCGTTTCTAATACATTCTTATTCAAACCAAATGAAAATATTAATCCCATTTTACAGATGGGAAATAGAACAAGTTGTTTTAAAGTCATACAAACACTGGTGGGCCAACATGTGAACCCAGATTGTCTGAAGTCAGAGCCAGCATTCATAACCAGGTTACGCTAGACTTAGATCAGTGATACCATTCAATTGATGTTAAAATAAGTAATTGATGTTTTAGTGAGAATTGCAAAGTGTATCTTAGATTATCATAGCATACAATATAATGAGATTTTGGAGCCCTGAACTCCCAGTATGAAGAGATCTTAATGATACCAACTTCTGTTAATGACACTAGTCTGAAATCATACCCGACGTAGGGTCATTTCTACAGCATCCTTGGCAGGATTGTCCACCTCTGATTTTTAGAATTTCCTATGATTGCAATTTTCCCCACTTCTTTTTTTTTTCCCTTGTTTTTCTTTTTTTTTCTTTTGAGACTTGGTCCTTTCTGTGTTGCCGCAGCTGGAGTTGAGTGGCGTGATCGGCGCTCACTGTAACCTCTGCCTTCCGGGTTCAAGTGCCTCAGCTGCACCAGGAGCTGGGACTATAGACATTTGCCACCACGCCTGGCCAATTTTTGTATTTTTAGTGGAGTCAGGATTTTACCCTGTTGGCCAAGCTCAGCTCAAACTTCTGAGCTCAAGTGATCCGCCTGCCTCAGTCCCCCAAAATGCTCGGATTACAGGTGTGAGCCACCGTGACGGCCTTTTTTTTGTTGTTGACATTTTTAATCTTTATTTCTATTTATGTTGAGTCAAAATCTGCCTTCCTGATATTTACACTGATAAATCCAATTCCCCCTTTGTGTGTGTAATGTATTTATTATCCATGAAATAATTAAGAAATAAATGGCTCTTTAATTTTTTTGTTAATTGAAGCATAATTTAAATATAGTAACTTTTAACAGATCTCTATAATGGGATAGCCTCCACCACAATCAAGACATAGAAAAAGACGTTTCCATTACTCTAAAAAGTTCACTCATGCTTCTAATCATGAGCTCCCTCTATACATCCAGTCCCCTGAAAACCATTCATTGTTGCTCTTAAAGCTTTATCTCTTTTAGCATATGTTAATGAAATTATACATTATGTAGCCTTTTGTGTTTCCTTTCACTTAGCATAATGCTTGGTATTATATTAAGTTGGTACATCTATCAGTTGTTTGTTCAGTGATGTGCTGGGAAATGTTTTAACAACATGCTCTTCAGAAAAAAAAAGAATCTCCGATTTGTAGCATTTCCTAATCATTGCAGTGTAAACACTCTCACTATGGCTTATATTAAGCTACCAGTTCACAGAATTCCTGAAAATTTAGCAGTGGGCTCCCATGAGCTGGTACCAGTCAGCTCCAGCACAGTTCCTTTTTTTGTTGAGTAGCATTGCTTTATATCAAGTAACACAATTTGTTCATCGATCCATAAACTGATGGACATTTGAGTTGTTTCTAGTTTTGGTCAAATATGAATAAAGCTGCTGTAACATTTGCATACAGGTCTATATGACGGACAAAAATTTTCAGTTTTCTTGAGTTAATACCTAGGAGTAGGATTTTTTTTGGTCCTATATGTGTATATTTATTAATATCAGTAAACTTTTTATCAAACTGCTGAATTGTTTTCCTAAATGGTGATATCATTTTACATTCCTGTCCTTCCAGTTGCTTTACATGTTTGTCAGCACTTGGTATTGTCAATTATTAAAACTTTGGCCACTTATTATATGTGTAGTGGTCTCCTTTAAATCTTTTGACTCTTATTTTCAGTAGTGTTTAGAAAGTTTATGATAGATGTTTCTAAAAAATAATTTTCTTTGGCTTGGGCATCAGTTATGAAGACTGCAACCTTTAAAGGCTATTTCTTGAGTTCTTGCTGTGCACTTCCACGTTGGTAAAATTAGTTTTTGTAAAAGAATCATCATTAGAGAATTATTCTAACACTTCGCTGTTAACAATTTTAAAAGTAAACCTTTTTAAACAGGTAAAGCTTTGTTTAAAAAATTGGAATTAAAAATTTATCATAAAGCTTTTTATTTATTTATTTTTTACAATTTTTATTTGGACTTAAAGGTAAAAAAATATTCTTTGTGGCTCCCTGTATGCCAATACTTTGCTTTGATGGGATTTCACCAATTTCTATAAACTCATTGAATTGTTTTTTATTTTAAAATCTTGAGGACTGTCAAGTTAGTTATTACTCTTTCTGAAACCACAGTATCAAAATCTTATCTTTGAAATTTCATGTAGTTTTAGTGTGGACAAAGGATTAAATTACACATACCTCATATCAACATGTGATTTTCCCATCCAAGTACTAACCAGGCCCGACCCTGTTTTGTTTCCGAGATCAGACAAGATTGGGCGCGTTCAGGGTGGTATGGCCGTAGACGTAATTTTCAATAGTGAAATACTGGGTTGCCCTATTGGAATAAGATATCATTGATTCAAAAGATGATATGAAATAAAACCCTTAGAAGAGTAACCTGCGAGGTGCACTGGCTCCTGTCGGTAATCCCAGCACTCTGGGAAGCCGAGGCTGGTAGACTGCTTCACCTTAGGAATTTGAGACCAGCCTGGGCAACATAGTGAGACCCCCATCTCTCTTTTTTTTTTTTTTCCCTAAGTCCATTTTCTGTTGCTGTAACAATTTTTTTTTTTTTTTTTTTTTTTTGATAGAGACGGGGTTTCACCATGTTGGCCAGGATGGTCTCAATCTCCTGACCTCGTGATCCACCTGCCTCGGCCTCCCAAAGTGCTGAGATTACAGGCATGAGCCACTGAAGAAAGATGAATAATCTTGTAAAATAAATAGTCATGTTAGATTGTAAATAAGAATAGCTATATTCCCAGTTTGAGTACCCTGTAATAATGAAAGATATTTGTTTAAACATCTCAACAGTTCTCACAAAAAATTTGTTCAGTCATTGATTCATACATTTATTCTTTCATATGCATACACAAATATCTTGTGCATATAGGAATTGAAGGGTCTTATCATGATAAAGCTTACAGTTGAGTAGAAGAGACTGTTGAACAGGTATCACATATGTGAGGTG